AAAGAATATTAGCATTACAAAGTCTTAATCTCCTGTGTGACATTTGTGTGTTCACAAGAGACACCTGTGACAAGACTTCAGACTGTTTTTAGCACTTCTTTGTGTGGGGGGAAATGTTAAGGCCATGGTCTTTCTGATGCATCCATTTCATGTTGATTGTGGCATGAGTCTTGATGTGCAGACATTCCCTTTTACTTTTCAGCTTGTACTTGTACTATAGGGGGAAATTCTCAGTTTATTTTATCCTTTGCAATTTAGCAGAATATTGGCGTTACTGACAGGTGTTGCGCTTGTTTGTGTGGGTATTTTTGTTTTTTTTTCCTGAAGGGTAGCATGATGGACCAAAGCATCTTCCCTGTTCTGCCAGCCAGTTTTTGATATCTTATAGAGGTGTATCTTTACTGTGCAGCGACTATTCAGTTTTTTCCAACAGCTTTGATTTTAGTGGGCTGAATGTGAAAAAAAAAAATGACTGCCTGTGTATATTATTGCCTTTGTTTACAAGAAGCAACACGATCTTGAAAAGAAAATATTACAAATTAGAGAAGACGTAGGGCTTTGTGGCCTAAAGTATGTATCAAATTATTATTTCTGTTATCAGAGAACAGAACCAAACAAAAGTCTTAAAGTAGCAACAGAACTCCTTTCTATTGCGTTAGTTATACTTCCTTGTTTTTCCCAATATGGATGTAATGTTGAGAAACTGAGTGGGCGAGGGCTACTGTATATAATTTTTGTTTTGTACAAGTAATTGAAAATCAACATAATTTCTGTGGCAAACATGTATATTTTGATAAGGTAATAGCAGACATTCAGCACATTGCAGAGCCTTCCTTTTTTATTACACAATATTAAAAGAGATTCCAATGCATTGTGTCTGAACATGTAATTGCCCTCTTGAAAGCTTAACCTTCTTTTGATATAAATGCTCATACTTTTTCTGTCTTCAATAAATCTTTCTGTTTCTTGCTTTTACCCTTTGTCTCTTTAATTTCTGAAGCTTTTAAACATCTTGACCTTTTCACATTCTGCATCTGTATGCTCTTTCAGTCATGTGGTTAGCAGTCTCTCTTATCAACCTTCCTACATCTGGGAGAGACCTCTAATGACTCATTGGTTTCACTAACTTGTTTCTCCCCATCTGTTTGCTGTTAGGATATTGGATGAGAAATCAGTGTATGAATTTACTTTAGAAGTGCTTTTTTTTTTTTTTTTTTTTTTTTTTTTTTTTTTTTTTTTTTTTTTTTTTTTTTTTTTTTTTTTTTTTTTTTTTTTTTTTTTTTTTTTTTTTTTTTATTGTGGAGCAGCTTCATGTTGCTCAAAATCATTTTTAGGATTGTGATATTAAAAGGAGGTTGTGTATGGAGTATATGGAGATATAATCTGCAGTCCAGGCTGAAATATGACTGAAATGCATCTTTTTTTACATAATACTGCATTGCTAATTTAAGTGCTTTTTATCTGTCATTGTGTTTCTATACCTTATTACCATTATTATGACTTCATATTTGGATGCATCAAGCAGGAGGCATATGCACTTTTAAAGTGAAAGGTAGAGAGACCTATAACTAGGGTCTACTTTTTATTTTGCATAATATGAATGAAGATCTCGTAAGGTAATGTTATATGGTGTTCCTTGAACAGCAGGTGGCGCACTAGTTTAAGATTAAAAACTGGGTCATTCCTACATTTCAGTGCCTTATAGGTTTTTGTACTTATGAAAAATTAGTTTCCAAGTGTCTTTTTTTTTTCATTAAAGAGGAGCTTATAAAATGTTTTACAAGTCATAAGACAAGCGCTACGATAAATGTCAGCTGGTTAAGTAATGCACTTACCTTTACATTTCACAACACAAACAAAATACCCAGCTCAAAGCCTATATACCTTTTGTCAGGACTATATCACCGTGTGCAATGTGTTTGTGGATTTAAGGTTGAATTGCCAACAACAGGATGAATATGTTCATCAATCAATAAGAGCCATTGGAAATATTAAATAACATACCTAGTTCAGGTTGAGATTTGTATTTGTTGAAGGAAAGGAGATTATAGGTTAGGGCTTGGGATATGTTGAGTTAAATTTAGCCAACGTGCAATGCATAAATCTACACCAAATCTGTTTAAATAAAACCTAGCCTAAATAGTCACCTTTAGGGTCACTGGACTAGACTTGCTTGCGTGGGTTGTGTTCTAATAAAATAGTCTGGCTTTGGCTTTACTGTTTTCTTTCAGCATTCTTGCTTATTTCTTTCATAAATCACTTTTTCTTGCCAATCTGCCTATCTATTACCCCATTCCCCCATCTCTTTCTCATTTTCTAAAAGTATTGCCTGCTTTTCTCAGGGTCAGAATCCTTGGTATGCCTCTGGTGCACATCTCTGCAATCAAAAAGATATACATGAAATATGCAAATGTATTTCATAGCCAAATAAATAAATTCAGATCCAAAATTCAGATGTCCAACTGATTAGGATCATTGAGGCATCACGACGGTAACAGACGGAACATTGATTGGGTCAAGTGTGTGTGTATAAAAATGACTTTGTTAAAATTGTGGTGACCTATACTGGGGACCTACATGTCACAGACTCACAGGAATGACCCCAGTAGTTTTGGTGTGTTCATAGAATTGAGAGGCATTGGGCCAACCATTTTTCACGGTTCAGAGAATTTCTTTATTGGATCAGTTAAAGCAGCTCATTTAAAGAGGTGCCAGTCCATATTATTGAGAAAGTTATCTACTAGTCCTATACCAAACTAGGTTTTTCAGATATTTAAATAATTTGCCTCCCATGCTATTTTCTGCTTGATATTTCAGTACATTTGTAAGGTAATTAAGCAAAGGGGGAAATGTAGTTCATTTATTCTTTCAAGGCATTTAATTATGAATAGAGCAGTAGTTTTCCCAGCAAACTTTGGAGGGGACTGATAGAAGAAATTATTTAACTTAAAGGAATAGTTCACCCAAAAATGAAGCTTGTCATTATTTACTCACCCTCATTTTGTTCCAAACTAGTTTCTTTCTTATGTTGAACATAGAAGATATTTTGAAGAATGCTGGTAATCAGTTGATGGTCCCTAATGACTTCCATAATATTTCTTTCCCTACTATGGAAGTCAATGGGGACCAATAACTGTTTAGTTCTTCAGAGTTCGTCAAAATATCTTCTTTTGTGTTCAACATTAGAAAGAAACTTATACAGGTTTGGAATGACACGAGCGGGAGTAAATGATGACAAAATTTTCATTGTTGGGTGAACTATTCCTTTAAAGGACTGGTTCACCCAAAAATGAAAACTTGATGAAAATTTACTCACTCTCAGGTCATCCAAGATAAGTTTGTTTCTTTGGATTGGATTACTTACCCATCAACGGATCCTCTGCAGTGAATGGGTGCCGTCAAAATGAGAGTTTAAGCAGCTGATAAAAACCTCACAATAATCCACATGACTCCAGCTGATCAGTTAAATTCTTGAAGCAAAAAGCTGTAAGTTTATAATAAACAAAACCATTAAGATGTTTTTAACTTCAAACTGCTGCTGGCTAAAATACGAGTTCTCTGTCCATATTATTTTTTCTCCAGTTAAAAATCTGTCTTGTTTGAATCAGGAAAGAAATATGCACAGCTCAAGCTACATTTACTAGTAAAAACAGTCCAAACCAGTTCTAAACCAATATGTTGGTGGATTTTGATGTGAGAGGACAACGGGATGGACTGTTTCACTGGAGGAAGCCTTATTATAGATTATAGACTCCCATTTTGGCCAGAACCAATGGTTTAAAGTTAAAATACCTTTATGGATTTAATTGTTACAAACAGTTTTTCACATTACAATATGTTAATTGATGGAGTGGATTCGTGTGAACTGCTTGTGGATTATTGTGATGCATTTATCAGCTGTTTGGACTCTCATTCTGACGGCACCCATTCACTGCAGAGGATCCGTTGGTGAGCAAGTGGTGCAATGCTAAATATATTCAAATCTTTCTGATGAAGGGAAAAAAAACAGAATAGCCTGCAAAAATGAGGGCTTTTGAATGTTATTTTGGACAACAGTTGATAACAACTGCTGTAAAAGGAAGGTGCTGAAATTCTCAAGAAAGCAATTTAAAGACGCATATGAATAGTCTTGAGATGACGAAGTAAATTGCAGAGGTGAGTTTGAAGAGAGCTCGTTCAGGCCCCGCCCCCTCCTGAAGGTACACCGCTGATGATAACTGTCGCACACGAATCAGATTCAGGATGAACCGATGAATTATGATGAAGTGCGCGAGTCAGATGCCTTAGAAAGCTTATACGATTTAGTCGATCGAAGCTAAACATTGATCAGATCCGAAAAGCCGATCCAAAGAATGAGCAAAGGCAGAGATGTCTAAGGCAGAATGGGGCAAAATTGCCTTTGTCCCTCCAGGACACAGAGGTCTCGTGCAAACGTCTTGAGATATGCGTAGGATAGCTGCTTTTCAGCTGGAGCCAGCCAGAAACAACACGATTCCGCCAACAACTAACATAACTTGTGCGAATAAGATGGAGCGCTGAGGAAACGCGAATCAGAAAGGCGTGCGTTATAGACGGGGATGTGTTTCATGTGTGCTTCTCGCGCAGACCACATGGGGTAGAGGTATCTGGAAGTTGCAGCGCTGCAAACGGGGAGCATCACTGTAGGAGGCTCGAGACGCGCATCAAACTGTCCCGCGTTTAGATGATGGAAGGATTTCTGACAGAGCGCTAGAAAATTACCGTGGACCACATTGGAGACCTTTTGCAGCATAAAAAACAATTGTAATGGATTTTTCGCTAAAAGGAACATCAAATGTGTGCAGTTTATGAAGTAGCCTACGCAACAGAAAGTAATGCTGCTCATTCGCTCGGAAGGAATGAAAATCGCTCTGGATTACAAGCCTTGTTATGACGTTCAAAACTGCGTATATACATTCACTCAAGCAAGCAGGTATTTGAAAAGTTGTCTCTGAAATAAGCGACCGTGATTTTTCGTTTGGAGTTGAGGACTAGTATAACAACTCAAATGGAGTTGCCGCTGGTGGTTTTTACGGTAGTGTGTTGGGTCTCCGTATGGTCGGACGACCGGATCATCTCAGACAGACATGAGGTCTACTGGAACAGCTCAAACTCCAGGTAAGTGTACACTATGGCAGGCTCTTTTAATATTTAGTGCTTAAAACTTACTGGTATATATTGTTACAAGTTCCTTTACTTCATATGTGTTAGTTAGCCTATTATTTCTTTGCTACATTTTTTAACCAATTAATCTGTATTTGTGTTTCATATATTAATTTTCGCCTAGTCCAATTGTTGCTGATACTGCGTGTTACTAGTAAAGAACTAGTTACTTCTTAAGTATATTTAAGTGTCTAATAAATATTTATGAGACATCTTGATATTTACTGTGACATTTTTCGCTAGATACAATTTGCTTTTTTATTTGTTATATGTAAGGACTAGTCAGAATGGTCCTTAATTCTTACTAGCAAGATTGTTACTAGTAAAGGAATATATGCTAGTAGGAAAACTGGAATAGATATCAAGTATTTGAATAGTTAGTAGCTAACTAGTAGAATAAGTAGCTAACTAAAAATACCTTTTTAGTACCTAAAAAGTACCTTAATAATTATTAGTTAAACTTGAGTGCCAGCAACAATTTGAATACACACTAGTTGAGTGGGAATAATTCATTTTTCAAAGGCAAAAGTAGCAATTACTTTTTTGATACTGACTGGAAGCAACTGACCACTATGATATAATGAATTCTAGTGACTAGCGACTGTTTGAATAGGTACTTGCCTCTAATGAATTATTAGTAATTAAAATAAGTGCTACTTGGTTTTAAGGGATAAACTGAGATGTGGGGAAGTCATGGCCTAATGGTTAGAGAGTCGGACTCGTAACCCAGAGGTTGCGAGTTCGAGTCTCGTACAGGCAGGGATTGTAGGTGGGGGGAGTGAATGTACAGCGCTCTCTCCCACCTTCAATACCACGACTGAGGTGCCCTTGAGCAAGGTGCCGAGTTCTCCCCGGGCGCCGCAGCATAAATGGCTGCCCACTGCTCCGTGTGTGTGTTCACAGCTGTGTGTGTGCACTTTGGATGGGATAAATGCAGAGCACTAATTCCAAGTATGGGTCACCATACTTGGCCACGTCACATCACTTTCACTTTTTTTTTATAAATGTTAAATTGGCTTGCCATTGACTCTGCTCAAACCCCAGGCCATATATTATCACTGCTATAAGGCACAGATGATGGAGATTGGCTTTTCTTGTGTTTGCAAAGCATTACATTTATAAATGACAAGATGTAGGCTAAGTTAAATCTTCATGTGGATTGTAGAATTTGTGTCGTTCATCAAAGATTTGTGACTGAGTGTGGTTTAGCACTTCTTATCCTCTTAGAAATCACTCAGGGTTGAGAAAAAGCAAGTAGTGATCATATTTGCCAGGATTTGTTCACTCTTGCTGATGCTGTCAGAGCTTGGCACTGTAACATTTTCTAAATTAATAATAACAGTAGCAACACTTCAGTTTAATCCTTTTAATGTGGAGATGCCAGAAACATACATAATAATGCTCCATGCATGCAGCTGGAGCTAAAAATCATGGTATTTTTTGGAAGCTTTGCATGAACTGAATCAAGAATTTCAGCTATCATCTTGATGTATTTTTGTCAATCAAGAGAGTCATGATGAGCAGCGACCTCAGACACTTTCACAGGCTGACAGGTTTTGAACTCATAGGTTCTCTGTGAAGTTCCTTGACATTGCTCATTCCTCCTTATTTCAAGGGTATCTGTTAGCAGGGCTCTCTCACTGGCTTGGAGGGTTTGCTCAGGGGATGTCAGCCTAATGGCTTTTGACATGCAGCTCCTCAGGTAGAGCTTGGCTAGATAAATAAACACGGCGAAGGTGCTCTCACGGCTGAATTAACAAAGTTAAGAGTGGCTGTCTTGCAGTACATCAGTAGTCTGCCGAGGTTTAAAATATTAAAGAGGCTCAGAGGAAGATTTCTTCTCGAGCTGGGTGCATGCTCTTCCACCTCAACAAAAATGTAGGGCTGGATTTGATTTTTGTTTTTTGTTGCATTGAATAAGCCACCCTGATGCATTCAATCCGCATTAATCATTATTAAGCAGAATACTTTACCTTTTTCCACTCTTAGGATGATAAATGTGCAGTGTTAGAGTCCCAAACCCATTTCCCCTATTTATGATTTCATTTGATTTGATAGGTTTTGCTTACATTATGTTTGTAATATATTTATACGCTGCAGTAGTTTTCAGAGAAACTTCCCCAAATGCATTTCTTAGCCTGTAACCCTGTTGCCGGCGTTCACAAAGAACATGTATTTCTATTATTTTCCAGTGACTCTATCAAAACTCTATCAATTTGCGCCCAACCAAGGGATTGTGTGAGAAACAATCCAAAAAGAACGCCCAGGGGTCAGCTTTACTTTTCAGCGCGTCCTGACCTCCCTTCTAGTCCTCTTGCAGTATTGTAGTCACAATCGAGGTGAGCTTTTTGCAGGGCAATTCACCTTGAGCATTAAAAGCTTGCCATGAATCATATTTTCTCTCTCTTAAGCTCCCTGTCAGGGGTTTTCTATTGAAGCCCACACTGAAAAGAAGATGGACATCCCCTCAATGTCAATATGGCCGGCCTCTTGGGGGTCCAGATTAAAAAAAAGGGAAGATGCCCAGCTTTGTAACCCAAGAGGATGGACTAATCTAATCCTGTGGTTTATCCTTCAAAAGGCCCTCTCTTCTTGAAAGCTTTGAGGTTCTTAACAGAAGTCCCGGCTCATAGCCCCTCGCTCAAGTTGTGCTGCGGTTGGCTGGGGACAGCTCAGTGCTGGATGTTGTCTCTGCCTTCGCAAAGGAAAGAAGAAGAAAAAAAAACAAGTGGAGCTGAGGAATCCAGTGCTCACAGTGATTCATAGATGGCTGCTGTCATTATTCCCTTGACAGCTCACACTGCTTTTTTCTGAGACTCTCTGCGGCTGCCTTTTGGGGCCTGCAGTAGGGCTTTCTGTTGAAGTCCTGGCACAGCAAAGCAATTTAGGATTATTTGCATGCAGGTTCATCTCTAAATTGTTACCATTATGTAAACAATGAATATGTGAAAAGGTCTAGATGGAAGCCACGAATAGCGTGGGTTTTGAGAAAGGCTATGAATATCTTAAAGTAAATTGCCTGCGCAACACACAATGCGTCAACGGGGCCAGTTTGCAAGTCATTATATCGGCTTATTGTTATTCGTGGTTGAATTTAATTAAACATAACCTCTTGTCTGGTTGTTTGGTGTCAGATGGAGTTGCACAACCATGTCTAATGATTTGGACGATCCACAGCTGTGTTGATGATGTAATGACTTTGAAATACTCGACTTTGAGCTCTCTTTACAACGGGGAGAATCTTAAGCACTGCGGCTCAGATTTATACGATACTCTTGACTTGGTCTAGTCATTTACCTCAGTCATTTTCAAGTGGAATTTAATTTTTGAAATGAAACTCATTTATCTCTTCATGCCCGTTTGTCCTTATGCTGAGATACGGTTCTGAGTATCCGAGCGCTATCAAATTTCCACTTGTCAGACAAAGCAAGTAGAACCTCAAGTAGCCGTTTGCACCTTAAAGAGGTTTAATACTCATGCTCTGATTTGTCATTCCTGTCTATCTCAAGTTCTCAACCTTTGTGGCTGAAAAAAATGTATTTTCAAGATGTTTCACCCAGCTGTCTTTGCAGAGGCAGTCCTGAGGCCACAGTGCTGAAATCTTTCACCAGATGAATTACGTTTTCAAAACACGACACAATCCTGTCAGGAAACAGGAGGCTTTTGTAAACTGCAGTGGTTGTTAGTTAAGTTTTATCCTTTCTCTCTCTGTTTGAACGTCTCTTTTTGATTTTACTACACCTTCCAGGTGCTTCACCAGTGACTCATTTTCACATGGGAATACGTCTTGAAATATGTAGGTTCATTGGTTAAAGGGGTCATATGATGCGAATAAAATTTTTCCTTTCTCTTTGAAGTGTTACAAGCTCTTGGTGCATAAAGAAGATCTGTAAAGTTGCAAAGACTAAAGTCTCAAATCCAAAGAGATATATTCTTTATAAAAGTTAAGAGTCAACCACACCTACCTAAAACGGCTCGTTCTAACACGCCCCCACATATCTACATCACTATGTGGGAAGATTTGCATAACGCCGCCCAAATGTTCACGCAAAGAAAGAAGGCGTAACTTTGATTCTCGCTATAGTATTGTTGCTGCCGCCATGTCGTGAAGACATGTGTGTGTTTGTGTTCTGTGTGTTTCGTTGTGAAAGCGAAACTACTTTGTTTGGCCTTCCAAAAGAGGACTGTTCTTTTTAGCAACATCATATGACCCCTTTAAAGATTCATCCCCCTTTGATTTTTTCATTTGGTTGTTATGCGTTAGAGTGCTTCGTTCTGTTTTTAGTTTTAGCCCTGATTGTGTCATATTAGTGGTAGTTACTTATTTTTGCATGGTGAAAGTGTTTCAGTGCCCTATGAGACCCTATTTACATCTCAGTATCTGTTGTGTATAAATGTAGTTTCATGGTTTTCCCAAGGCTTAAGCATTTCAGCATGTGGAGCAAAAGTAGATGTTTATCTGAGGAATACAGAATAAAATGTGTACTTTGAGATAGACATGGTCTAAATGTAGCTATTACATAAAAGTGATGCTTTTAGACATTTAAAAATAGCACAAGGTGCAGCTTTAACCCTGGGGCTGCAGTAAGACCTGTGGCAAACCGCTACATTAATGCATGTTTTTCCACATTCCACAAGAAATCTGGGGGGGAAAAGACTGTTCTTTTTCAATAAACTTTCATAAATCTTTCTCATTAAATACATAGCTAAGGTTGTGAATGTTGTGGATGTTGTTTTTGCTGTATATCTTGCCTTCACAGCTTGCACAGTAAGCTGTGTCTGTCTTGGGGATACAACTCAAGGAATTTTTCAAGCTGTCAGAAAACACTCGTGGCACGGTGGAACAGAAGCTCGGCATTGGGTGTGCAGTTTCAGACCTGACACATGCCTGTTCAGCAGTCATTGAATAGACCAACTGGATGTGAAATGTGAAAATCTGATTGCAGGATTCTTGT